ACCTGAGACCAGATACAATGTTGTTGCTGACTTGGAAGGCAAACTTCAACTTGTATTGGCTTCCTTCCTTCAAAGTAAACCAAGAACCTTTTGGCTTCCCATCCTCGGGGATAGACAGCACGATATCAGCTCTATCAGGAGAAACAATCGATAGGCTGAGAATTTTCACTTCCGGCTCCAGCGTTTCTGCAAACAACCAACAGAACAGATAGAATTCAATTTAACTACAGTAGGCATCCACTAGTCATTGCAGAACAGAACGATGTCCTCTTACGACTGAAAATCAACAAGGCAGTTTCGTTTATACAATGATGAACAATTGGCTTACCCATTTGAACGTCATTCCCTTCTTCCCTTACATGGATTTCTTAAACTAGACACAGCTAACCCATTTAATGTCAATTACAAAGGTAAAGTCTACCCATTAGAACTTTCCTAAGGAGCTCCCAACCTTTACATGTAAGACTGAAATTCAGACATGAGCATCACATCTTGGATCATTTGGAGCTTTTACTTCTTACCTAAAAGTATGGACCCAATTAATGCAGTAGGGTAAAAACTCAGTAGCTAAACCATCAATGTATAACGTTGAATGATGGGAACAGATCACATCTCAACCATTCTTTCAGTCCACAAAAACCAGTAACCAAGACCCTTAATTACAACTCCAATTCCAACCCACAGTTATTGAACACAAATAATTACCTCCAATATTCTCAAAATCCACACTTCCGAGGAGCTGTTCCTTCCACTTCCTGAGGCTCTCGTCATCCTGAACATACAAAATCAAACAATTTTTGACAAATTAAAAAATCAGCTACACAAATTCAAACTCAAAGCAAAAAACTGCTTTCTTTTCTGAACAAACCTTATCTTTCTCGAGCTGTTCCTTGAGAGTATACTGAGGACCAAGCTCAAGCTTATTGGCAACTTCATCATCGTCTTCATCCTCGTCACCACCACCACCTCCATCTAAGGAAGATTGGCTCATGTGCTTTGAAATCTTCTCTACACCTTCATCTTCATGCTGCCTGTCAATCTCTTCATTCTGGTTGTTGCCATCCAAACCCATATTACTTGAACTCGACACAGCCAAAGACATCAACTCATGGACAAATAAACCAAAACGCAAAAGGAACCCTTTAGGTCCCTGAAAACCCCTTCAAACAGAGAAGAAACTGGGATCTCTTAGGGACGGACGAAGGAAATGAGAGGAAGGGAAGGCTTATCTTTCGAGAAAGACACCATCTTTGTGTCGAAAAGAGAGGAACCCAGATGGGAGAAAACGGGCAAAATTGGGGGAAATTAGGGAAAAGGTGGAGAAAGTTCGTGTCTTTAGTGATTTTTTGGACGAATGAGACACAACCCAAGAAAACAAAGACCCACTAAAGGGAGCAAAAGGGCATGGAAAAGAAAAGGATTAAAGAACCAAAAAAGAAATAAAAGATCCTAGCTTGGTTGAATGGGTAAACACAGAGCAAGAAGAACAGAGAAACGGGGAGGGAAAATTGATCAAGAGAAATGGGGAAAGAGGATTAAGAGCTAAAGATAGATGAGATTATAAGGAAGTGAAAGACTGGAACTTTCTTTGTTTTATGGTATGGAGTTTTCATTTGAGGAAGTTGAGGAAATGGTCATGTGATGATCCGAAATATCAGAAAATTAGAGGCCAACGTGAAGGTCACTATTGAGATTTACATCTCCCAATAAAATAATAATTAGAGACATTTAATGGAATAAAAGAAAGTGAAAGAAGAAATTGAATGATGGGGTCACATTTTGAGAGAATCCGATCACCCATGGATATGAATATGATCATATGAAAGGGGCATTCCTCATTAGAGAAGAAAGGGCCACTATATTTATTTCTTACAATTTTTTTCTAAATTGTAATTAAGGATGTAAAATATTCATTACATAATAAAAAGAATTTGATCCTTTTAATATTTTGATATGATTGATTTATAATTTGATTCCAATTTTGACTTCTCATTAACAAAATTAAAATTTTATTTTCATTCGTAAAACTCAGTTAACACAAAAATAATATCTAATAGCTTATACACACTCTTGTAATCATCTTACTTTGTTTGGCTTTCGCTTTCCTTAATGGAAATTAATTAATTAATTAATATATAAAAGCCTAACATTAGAGTTACTATTCATTAGTGGATCTCACACTACTTCAAGTGCAAGTGTGGAAGTTCCAAATCCTTATTTTACCTCACTCTCCGTTCTACAACAATTGTGTTTAGTTTAGGGATGACAATTTGAACCCGCTGGGTTTTACCCGACCTGAGCCGCGATGGGCCCCGCCCCGCCCTGATCTTGGCCCATTCTAAGTCAATTTCTAATGTCATCCATTCATATATCTCCTAATTCGACTTTTCTATGTCAAGATTAACTAGTTAGACTTAATCTTTCAACTAAATAGACTCAATTACCCATTATATTATCACTATTATCCATTCATGAAGTCTTTTCCCATTCATTTTATCATAAAAATTAAATTTTTCTTGTATTTTTTCCAAATAGCATATAAGGATTGGTCGACCCGCCCCGTACCCGCGCGGGTATTCCCCGCCGCCCCGACCCGTAATAGCATGGGACGGGGCATGTGTATTGCCCCGATCAGACCCATTGTCATAACTAGTTCAGTTATTGTTCGTTAGATTTATAAATTAGCCAGAGTTTCCATTTAATTTAATTTAAGGCAGATTTTCATTTTATTATGGATCATTTTATATGATCGGGTGACTTTCAAAAAATTATATGATCTGGTCTGATTTTATGCCGAATAGTTTCACCTTAAATGCAACAAATTGAATGAATGGGGTTTTCATATTAATTGTATTATTAAAAACTTGAATAACGAAGGTGACTTCCCTTAACCCGAAGTGCAATTATTGTATTTTCTTCTTTTTTAAGAGCAATATTTTGCATTTTCCATTCCATATATTTCACAAATAATCTATCGAAAAATAATACTTTTCACGGATAAAGTACTAGTTTATGTATCATGATTCATGAACACCAATCATGGCCTCTTTCTTCGTTAGCTGTTTTTGGTACTTTTCATTTTCTAGTTTCTAAGTTTGAGGGAAGCCATGAACTTTCCATTTCATAGACGAAACAATTTATTAGGGCATTAAATATATGGACATAATAATATGGCCTTTTATTTATTTCCATGATCTCCCTTCATTCGTTATTTTAAGTTCGCTAGAGTGATTATAATAATAGTTAACATAATGATAACACATATGAGGGGCTTTTCCAATAATAGATTTCTATAACCTTTCAAAAAAAAATCATAGATTTCTATTCAATTATGATGCTAATGCCCACTTCTTACATGTTTAAGATAGGTTACGTAACCAACGTTTATGATGGGGAGGGCAATAGTCGGGTTGGGGACTAGATACTATAACAACACCCCTTGTGTTGTTATTGTAACAACACTAGTCTCCAACCAATAGGAAGTTAGGGTTGTGATGACTTTTTATTAGATGAGTTGACCTAGTGTAAAATCAAAGCAGGGGTATAATTGTCATTACGAAAAATCTGTTTAAAAAATAAAAAAATAACAAAAAAATAACAAAAAATAACAAAATAAAAATAAAAAAATTATTTTTTATTTTCGGCCCAAAATTTTGGTCGCCGGAATTCGGCCACCGGTAGCCGGAAACTGGTCGCCGATCACCGGAATATGCTTTTTGTCGCCGGAAAATGCTATTTGTCGTCGGAATATGCTTACCGGCGTCGAAATATGCTTACCGGCGTCGGAATCTAGTCATCGGGGCCGGAATATGCCTATCGGCGTCGGAATCTGCTCACTGACGGTCATCGGAGTTCGGTCAACGATTTTTGTTGACCGGTCAACGGTCAACGACCACCGGATGTATGGTCTGCATTGTGAGATTTATGGTTTGGTTTCTCATATTTTTGTATGCCTTTTGTGGTTTGTTTTATCGTGTTTGTGGTTTGCATTAAGAAGTTTCTGGTTTGCTTTATCGTGTTTGTGGTTTGCATTGAGAAGTTTCTGGTTTGCTTTCAAAAATTTTGTGGTTTGCTTTGCGGGGTTTCTGGTTTGTTTTAATAGATTTTTGGTCTGCATAAGGACGTTTCTGGTTTGTTTTTGTGGTTTGCTTTATCGTGTTTGTGGTTTGCATTATGAGGTTTCTGGTGTGTTTTTTAAAATTCGGTGGTTTGCTTTGCGGGATTTCTGGTTTGTTTTAGTAGATTTTTTGTCTGCATTATGACGTTTCTGGTTTGTTTTTTTGGTTTGCTTTAACGTGTTTGTGGTTTGCATTATGAGGTTTCTGGTGTGCTTTCAAAATATTTGTGGTTTGGTTTGTGGTGTTTCTGGTTTGTTTTAGAGAATTTATGGCATGCATTAGGACGTTTCTGGTTTGTTTTTGTGTTTTGTTTTATCGTGTTTGTGATTTGCATTATGAGGTTTCTGGTGTCCATTAGAAATATTTATGGTATGCTTTGTGGGATTTCTGGTATGTTTTAGGAGACTTGTGCTTTGCATTAGTAGGTTCATGGTATACTTTTTGTGGTTTGTTTTACCTTATTTATGGTTGCATTATGAGATTTCTAGTATTTAAATGCTCGTGTTCTGCATACCATAATAAATTTTAAGCACTCGACATCCCAACTATATTTCATCTTACACCAACATTAAGTTTTGGCTTAACTAAACTAATTAAGCTTCTTTTATTTATATTCCCTGACTTTTAACCAGAAGCTTCTTCCTCACCACCTCTGCAGTCTGGAGCTATTTGCTAATCTCTCTTCATCACTTCATCTGCTTTTTCTTCCCCATCCCCACGACTTAGTATCTTGGAAAGATGGAAACATTAGCATTTGGTTTGCTTATTATAATCTTTGCATTACAACCAATCTCCGCTAGCTACTGTAACCCTTTTCCTAATTCGCCAAAAGGCTGAGGTGAGACACAAATTAAAGGGGGAAAGGAACAGTAGGCATGATAAATGTTGAAGCCTGAAACCTCCATTGGGAAAAGTTCATCTAACATCATTCGCTATGCGAGCTATCGCCTCTGGAGAATCACGAATCGGCTGTGGGAAAATCCAACTTGCTCTCCCGCTTCGCCCGTAACGAGTTCGACGCCAACTCCAAGGCCACCATCGGCGTCGAGTTCTAGACCCAGCTCGTCGACATCGACGGCAAGGAAATCAAAGCCCAGATCTGAGACACCGTCGGCCAGGAGCACTTCGGGGCCGTCACCTCCGCCTACTACCGCGGCGCCGTCGTGCCCTCGTCGTCTACGACATCACCCGCCGTCGGCTTCGATTTCCAGCAGCAGCTGAAATCTCCCTGCCGAATTCCACTTCCACAGCGGCCTAGTCTATGAACATTCTGTTCCAGTCGAGATTGATATATTCTCGTCGTTGGCCCAATCATTGTCGATTCCACAGCCACAGCCGCGAATCTGAGGGAAGACGGAAACGAATCGAAGAAAGGAAGATCCAATGATGCTTATGCCTTTGAAATCGTGGGATCGACATTGGCGTCGGCGTCGAAACCAGAAGGAGGGAGAAACCGCTTGGATGGAGGAGGTTGAGTGGTGGCAGAGGAGATTGAGCGGTGGTTGCTGATGGTTCGGATATGCGTCGGCAACGGAAGAGTCCTAATAGAAACGGAAAGTGGAAAAGGAGCGGAGAGGAAGAGGGGTTCAGATTTTTAATTTACTTATTTTTTGTAATTTCCCAATTTACCCTTGTTGTTATAATAACAACAATTAGACTGTTGTTATACTATCCGCTCTCGTCGGGTTGGGTGGGTTTTGGTCTCAAATTTATCCACTCGTTTACTAGCGAGTTGGATTAATTGTGATCCGCAATCCATTCACATACTTTTGTGGGTTGGGTTGGGTGGGTGGTGGATGGATGTGGTTGGGACGCGGGTCAACCCGCAAAAGCAATTCTCCAACTAGCTATTAAGAAAGTTGACTAACATGTATAATAAGTTCATAGCAAATTAGTAAGATTGTATCAATAATTTGTGATTTTGGTACAATTAATAATATATACTTTGCATCCCAATATTTAATAGATATGAACAATAATTTGCATATCAATATCCATTATCTAATGAATATTGCACAACACAATAACCCATAATAGTAGTCCAAACTATTCTTTATTCTCTACCTTTTGGAGTATATAGTCAAACTGTTGTGGAGTTCGAAAATATGATGAATATTCAATACTATAAGAAACGACATTTTCTCATGTTAAAATAGGATGCGGGTCATACGGGTGACCGGCAATTCACCCACCACCCACCCACATAAGTGCGGGTGACCCACATCAATCACCCACTGCGTGCAGGTCAGGTTATTTGCGGGTGGATCGATGTCAATCCGCTGATTAACCATCCACATGTCCACCCCTAGTTTATGCACTCTTATATAACTAATGGTTAATACCCTACTTTAGCCCCAAGTTTAGCGTAAGTGACACTTCTGGCCTCATTTTTCAAATAAGACATTTATGGCCTACTTTTGAAATTATTGAACAGATTTGGCCCGAAATTTTTTTGACTGTTAATATTGATAATCAAACACTATTATGTTAGTGACTCACCAAAAAATAGTTGATGTGGCATGCCACATCATTAAATAATATTATTTTAATTTTTCAATTCAATTAAAATTAAAAAATTAAATAAATTCCCTCTTATCCCAAAATTTCCAACCAAACCCTAAATCTAAATCAACACTTGGGCATCCTTATCATCGTCAACTACGCCGTCCTCGGAAGCACATTCCATGGCATCCTTACACCGTCCTAAGTCGATCCTCTTCATCTACCCGCTGAAGCTCCTCATCGAGACCTGCGGGACCACGAAGCTCCTCGCCGCCGTCGAACCAATTCTGGATCGGGCCACTCGCTTGCCGTCCACGATGTGCTCTACACCTGCGGCAGCTTCATATTCCCCAGCGTCCAGCCGGCGCAGCACCGCAGCTTCTCCGATGAAGTTGTCGCGCTGAACGAATTCTTCTGTTTCTCGGAGGATGGGTTCAGCTACGCCAGCTACGATGCGATGGGGTTCGACGCGGGGGAGACGACCCTCGATTATCCAGTTCCAGCTAGAGCCTAGTCGTCGCTGCCGCAGCCGATGTTGCTCTGCCTCTTCTCTCCACAGGCTGTTGTTGAATGATACCAGTCGCCAGTCGATGGATGATGGAGAATCGAGGGATTTGGCAGGTGGTCATTAGATTTCCCTATACCCCTACGGTGGATTCACGATGGCTCAAGATAGGGTGAGTAACCTTAGGGTGAGTAACAGTGAGTAATCAAATCTGGACCCTTCTTTTAAGTGACGGCAGATCTAAGGGTGGAGAATTAAAGGAATTTATTTTCCCTAGTTTTCTTAATTGGATTATATCTTCTTCATTCTAACTCGGATTTCATATTTTTTTTACACAGATGGAACGAGTTCGTTGTGCTCTACAAAATGATATCCATTTTCAATATTTTTTTAGAATAATTTTTTTCATCCCTCTCGTTACCAACTCCATACCATATGGTATCTCCTTCGTTGTTTAGTCATTTTCGGAAATTTTACACAAAAGGAACGATTTAATCATGATCTATTGGATTTCAAAATTTTTCGGGGGGGAAAATTTCAAACCTCTCGTTACCAACTCCATACCATACTATACCACCCTGGTATGAGGTGGTATTTTTCATACCATATGGTATGCTGTTATTTAATACCATATGGTATTGACTGGTATTAAATAACAACATATGGTATTGACTAGTATTTTTCATACCATATGGTATGCTGTTATTTAATACCAGTCAATACCATATGATATAGACTGGTAATAACTGGGAAAAAAATTTTGTTCCAAAAAATATCAAAGTGGATATTATTTTGAAGAGCACAATTAATTTGATCTAACTGTGCAAAAAAAATTAAATTCCGAGTTAAAACGAGTGAGAAATCGTCCGTTAAATATTAATGGAAAGAAAATTAATGATTTTTCAGGAGAAAGAAGGAGGGGCTGATGTGGCAGATTCTTATTGAGTTATGCATGGAGTTATTCACCACAAGGTTACTCACCGGATCTGCTCCCATTCAGGATTGTAATTTTTGCCGATGACAAAAAAAAATTAGATATTGTAATTTTTGCGGTTGAGCTTTGATAAGTTTTATATTTTTATTTTTCAAGTTTTTAAGTACTAAAGAAAGATAAAAATGACTTGAAAACCACATCACTGCCACTTCAAAAGTTCCGGGCCAAATCTGTACAATAATTTGAAAAGTAGGCCATAAATGTCTTATTTGAAAAATGAGGTCAGAATTGTCACTTACGCTAAACTTTGGGTCAAATGAGGGTATTAACCCTATAATAAAATAGGCAAAGTACACTTGTATAGCCAAAACTTTTACGTTTGTGACAATAATAACCAAATTTGGAGAAATACCACTTATAGCCAGATTTTGTAAAGGGTGTTGGACAAATGTAGTCATTTCCGTTGATACTTTAACGGTGTCATTAACACCGTCAACTTCTTTGACGATTTGCTGACAAAGCACCAACTCAGCGCACACGTCAACGTCAAACAAACCGAAAGTGACACGTCACAATTAAAATTTATTTAATAATTACATGTCATAAATTAATAAAAAATTTACTTTAATTTCCCCCAATTTCTTCACCTCCCTGACGCCCTCTCTTCTCCAATCCCATATCTCTGATTTCTCAAATTCTCGCCGATTTTGAAACTCGGGTATCATCATCGTCTTTCGATGAAACTCGATTCAAATCCTCTAGCTTCTTCTCCGAAACCCTTATTATCTGAATCAACCACCATCGTCGGAACTCGAATCGACGACAACTAGTTTGACACTCCCTATGGTGAAGGTGTTCTGGGTTCTCCATCGACTCGTGTGTTGCTGGGTTTCTCAATCAATGGGTTTCTCAATCTAGGGTCAAATCGATCACCCAGAATCTAGAGCATTTTGGTGCTAGAGAGATTGCGGGGGAGACCAGGTCTGATAGCTAGCTTCTTCCTCTCTCGATTCAAGCATCAGCTCCGCCTCTAGTTCTCGTTCGCTGTACTTTTAAGCCCCGACACCGCCAATTCTAATTTTTCGACGTCTTGGGCCAATTGCAAACTGCTCTGGCTAACAGCGGGCTGGGTTGGCGGCGGTGGAATCATTCGCTCCAAGCAGATCAATTTCAGAGTTTTCACGGATCCAAATCTTGCGGAAGCTCTGCTTGTCCCCTAGAATGTTCCGAGCTCTTGAAGACGAGATCTATCGTAGAGCAGCGGCAGCTGAGAAAACACAACTCCCAAGTCAACGACTCCAGATACAAAGAGAAATGAAGGAAGTTGAGCTGAAAGAGATAGGGAGAGAGCCGAGGATCAAGTAAGAAGAGCGGGAGAGGCAGTGGGTTTTATATTTTAAACCAACTTCAGTGGCGTTGGCCCTGTGAGCTCATGATATATACTTCAATTATTCCGACCAATATTGTAATACTTATATATTCATCTATATATAGTAAAGTAAAATACATGTAAGCATTTTATATATAACGGCATATATCATATTTTACTAATTATGATTGAAAGCCTCTTTATTTTTCATTTAATCCATATATTTTTAAGCTTTCATGTAATCCATATTGTCGGTCTCGGTTTGTGAAATTCAAATTAGCAAATAGGTATACTTTTAATTCTCTACATTTATGTTTTAGGAGGCTGAATTAACCTGCCCATGATAAAATAGCAAATTAGCGTATTATAGCTCCCCATTTATTTATTTTTAGCAAGCCTCAATTTAACTGGCCCAAGAAATTACTCCTTTGGCACAAATGCCCGTCCTCTAATTAAGGACAGCCTTCCGGTGGCTGATGTGGGACAAATCCAATGTATACTCTTGTATATATATTTATATTGATTCAACCCTATCATTCGAATAGTTAAAGGGTTTATGCTACATTTGATCATTGAGATTATTAAATCGAGTCATGTTTAGTCACTAGAAAAATTTAATATAATTTTTGGTCACTTTAATTACGGAAACATGTCACATTTAGTCACTCTCCTGCTAGTTTCCGTCCAACTCCATTAATTCAGTTGGATCGAAACTAACGGGAGAGTGACTAACTGTGACACGTTTCAGTAATTCGAGTGACTAAATGTGACATGTTTCAGTAATTCGAGTGACCGGAGTTGGATGGAGGGTAACGGGAGAGTGACTAAATGTGACATGTTTCAGTATTTCGAGTGACCAAAATTTATATTAAATTTTTCTAGTGACTAAACACGACACGATTTAGTAATCT